GCGTCCGGCATACTTGCGGCGAATCCCGACATCACGATCAAAGTCCGATCGTACGTGTCGAAAACTTCGTACTTGAATAGTTTCTTTTCGGAACGTAAAAACTCATATTTCGTCATATCCCAACAGTCCTTGCGATGAAACAAAGTATGAGTATCCCCATCGAACAGAATAATGTAAATCTTTTCTTCAAAACTCGTCACGTGCGTCCTTAAAGCCAACAAGACATCTGTCCAATCCGAATATTGACTATCTCTAACGTATGGAGTCAGATCCAAAAAGGCATTTGAGGTGGCCGTCGATCCCAATATGGTCGGATTTGTAAAGTAGGCATCAAACAGGGACCCTCCAGTGCGAGCGTCATTCTCAATTTCTTGAAAGAGTTCTGGCATGGTGGGAACCGTTTTGATTCGAATGTCAATATCAGGGTTGATTTTTTGGTAATCTCGGGCATTCCACCATGTTGATGATTCCAATGGAATCGACTACCAAGATGTTTACCGCCAAGGGGTTTGTGGTGGTTGTGTTGTTATTATTGTCATTCGACAGTGGTGGTGATGCTTGACATATGGGACAGGGCGGACAAGTAGATGCTTCCAGAGGATCCACGCCGCCATTGGCCGCATTGTTGTTATCATTGTTATTGTTGTTGTGGTCAACAACAGCTTGTCCATTGTTGCCCCACCCAATCAGGAGCAAAACTACGACTAGCAAAATGGACCGACCACTGCTGCTGTGCTGCTGTCGATTTGTCATTCTTGTTGTTGTTGTTATCACATGAAAGATGCGCACGATGCAATGTGTGCACTAAGTGGTATTTCTAGTATATTGTAATCAATGCAATGTTGGTACAGTGTTTCCAATAGTGTAGTATCATCAACCTAAACGAAAAGTAAATTGAGGCACGCATGGAATGGGAACTTTACAGTACCGGTACCAGTGGACCGGAACTTTTAAAATAGGATGTACTTTTATTTAAAAAATGGTGAAATAGAGTGAAACCAAAGAATAAAGTCGGGTCGTCCGCAGGCACCTTTTTTCGGATTCTATCACTACCCTCAAAACACACCAAGTCTGAAGTCTGACGACGACTGACTACCCACTTTGTTGGTCGGTCAACTATATATCCTACTCGTACTACATACTGGGCAGTACTAGCTAGTATTTTATTTAGACAGTGCCGATGACCCCCCCCCCTCCCTAATGGAACGGAAGGACAAAAGAAAGAATGAAGCAGAAATCCTTCCTTCTTCTTTCATCTACGAAGACAAGTTCGGAATAGTACAGTAGAATCATCATTGATGCATTGTTGTTGCATGATGATGACTGCTGCGACTAGCTAGGATCAGGTACTGGGAGCAGGAATCATTGAATTCTAAGGAATGTTCATCATCGACAAAGGAACTTCTTCTTGGAGCGGCGACAGATGAATGGATTGATTCATTCAGTCAGTCATTCCTTCATTTCTCGCCTGATTAACCGTTTCCTGGTCAGACAATACAAATCAATACATTTCGTAGAACTGGTACAAACCCTACGTAGTCAAAGTAGTCAAACTGATATATCTAAATAGTCAGGTCCAGATCTGCTGTTTAGAGGCATTATCAATTACAGGACAAGGGCCCACAGTTTGCATTTTTGTAGTGCTGGAAACAGACACTATTAAACACGTTCAACCCCTTTTCAACGTCGCCGCGCGAACAAAATTCCAATTCCACCAGGCTCTTGATTACTCGGGCTGAAACGATGAATTCCAAATTGAGGTTCAGTTTTTCGGCCGAACACAATAGTGCCCCGACCTACAGGGACACTGTTGCCGCTCTCCCCGCTCCCACGGTTCCTCTTGCGACTGCGGGGTATTCCCTTCTTTTTCGTCTGGTTGACCTCTTCCTGGGCACGGTAGAACTCCATGCAAGAGATTGCCTGGAAAAAGAAGGAACGAATTATCCTTAGGAGCACTCAGCCAGGCAGAATCAGATTGAATGCAATAGATTTGAAAACACTTTCCTATGTGTGAATAATTGGTTGGACCACTTCCTGATAATTGATGCTGTGTTTCCCATCCCCGTAGCAAATGTACTGGATCCATGTGAGAGAAACTAAAAAAGCTCTATGTTTGAACGTCAAAATCGGAAAGTGGCTTCCAACAACACTTTCCCCACATATACTCATATTGGACATCTTCTTTGATATAAATGACTTCCAACTATGTGTTCAGGACCCCCCGCAACTTGTCTATCGACCGACCGTTTCGGAATTTCACATCTCCGACTTCTTTGACTACTAAATAGTTTTCAATACACCCCTGGGCCGGGGCATTGCTGTAGCAAAATATTGTTTTTGATCGGTTTCAAAATCGTTTGATCAGTTTCGATTTCTTTGATCGGTTTCAAAATCGTTTGATCGGTTTCGTGTCGCATTGACTTGTTTCGATTTCTTTGATCGGTTTCAAAATCATTTGATCGGTTTTGTGTCGCAGTGACTTGTTTCGATTTCTTTGATCGGTTTTGCTTGATCTGTTTCGATTTCTTTGATCGGTTTCGAAATTTTGTGACATCATTTTTGTACAATTGACACATCATACTCGGATGGAGCCTTACTACGAGTCTCCGCATATTGTCATCAAATCAGTCTCTTTCATGGACGAGCCGCCTATCAACCATCTCGTTACTCCATCGGAGATGATGGAATCTGGCCTTGCTCTGAAGGGCTACAGCGAAAGGCGAATCAAGCGTGCCAAGTTTCAAACACCACTTCAGAGTTTCTCCCTGCACTGCAGTTTCGGTGTACACTGACATGCAAATCACCAGCATTGCAGGCGCAAGGATCAAGGGAGGAGTACTTGACCCTAATATTTCTTGATTGGACGACTGTACTATCTACAAAAGTACCTATCCGAAGACGAGCTGACGTCCCAGTTTGACTACTCCAACTATTGGGTAAGAGAGAAAGATTGTGGAACTGCCTCGGGGAACGAGACTCGGAGATCGAGGCTACAACAGAGAGCCAAAGCACATGAGCACCTACAACACACACGACAATGCTGGTGTCAGGCCCTTCAAGAGTTGAGCTCTCAAGAGACACGATGATTTCACAGTCTGTTGAAGCAAAACAAGATCTTGGAGGCGCGATTTCGACACAACGGAGATAGATTTGCTTTTGCTTTTGAGGCTTGTTGCGTCTTGGCTCATTATCTAATCACAAGAGAGATGTCATTATACAATATTATGATTGAGGATGCTGTAGAAACTTATGAAGGGGATAAATATAAATTTTCTTGAGTAGGGCCCCTAATTGTATTTACTTTGCATCTCATTCTAGTAGTCATCTTTACCCTCTTCATCTCTTGGTTCAGCATATTGAGGTAGTTTGTCTTCATCCTCATTATTATGATTGTCGTCTTTATCCTCTTCTTCAAGAACTGCCATGCTGCGCTGTTGGAGGTTCTTGATGAATCTTGCAGGATCTCAGCTATGGCACCTTTCCTTGGTCGAAGGTTTTTCTTCCTTGCCATTTTTCAAGGTCTGAAACTCGTATTTGTGAGGTTTGCAGTGGTCCATACATTCGATCCTACTGTACGCTGTAACATTTTGACTTAACCTAGATCAAAGGGATTTGATATCAGTTGATGATGAAATTGTGAGCATTAGAATAGTGGTTTTAGGTGCGCTATCTAGTCTTGGTTTGGCCAAGCTTTGGCCCGAAATATTCAGTAACG